GCGCTTGAATAAAACATGCTTCCCATAAAGAAAGACTGTATCTTACTCCTGGCATTAACAATGTGTAACATGAGTTTATGGGATAGAAGAAATGGTGCAGGTAATAATAAAGCTAAAGCTGTGCTGCTGTGGTAGGTTATAGCTTCAGGGATGTCTTTAAACCGCTATTTATTGTCTACAATTCACGAGATTGCAGCAGATTGAAATAAGCTATTTTTACTGCGTACTTATTTACTATTACCGTTCAACCTTTCCCTGTACTCCCTAATAAAATATTTTTACCATAAATGGCTTGTTATCTACAAGTAACAGTGTGTCTGTCCTCTCAAACCAATACCCTATTTGACACTTTGAATACAATGTTATTACAGTAATGGTCACCATCCTCTCGGTAGTTATGAGCTAAGAGTGGTTCTGCCTTTAAACCGTGTGTCAAACGATGCGTGCAGCAATTGTGTTACACAGGCACAATATGTGGCAGTTATGATACATTAAGGTGTGGAATAATTCCTCCTGCGTTCTAGAGAATGAACAGAGATAGCTGCCTGCCATGTTGTAATGTAACACCTCTTTGTGTGAGCGTCAGGGTAGCATCCCACACTAGAATTTAAAACGGCATGGCCCAGAAACTTTGAGAAAGAATTGGCAATGGGAGTTGAGGACATTCAATGGTGTTACATGTACTAAGAAACATAGAATCAAGCATTTTTGGATATTCGTATTCACATTAAGCTTCAATTGTTTTGAAAACTTTTAAGTTTATATTTTTTTTATATCAAATTATTAAACATGACATTGTTGAAGGCAACTTGAGGATGGAAACAATGATGCCAATTTTCCCATCCAGAAAATGAACCTTTTTGCAGTTTTACATTACTAGGATGTGAATTATAGCAATGAAAAAAAATCACCTCATCCTCTGCAGTCTATGGTGACCAGCAACAATAGGGAGACGGTGGTAACTATGGAGTATGGCTACCGAGGTTCCACAGAACTCCAGAACTCAGTACGCTGCTGACTCATGTACTACTGCAAATTCACAATACCAGCTGCAAATTGTATCCATGTGGTCTAGCAGAATTTTTGGGGGGCTGTATTTTTTTTATTCGCCCACGCACACTAGTTTGGGTTGTTCCGAGGATGTTATTCATGAAATTAAGTCAGCGTGGCCTAAGAATAAAAAAGAATGAAAAACTTTGTTGTGTCTCACCTTTTAGTCTGAGCTCTCTGCTCGGCTAACTCATGTAGCCTCCTCATCTCCTTCTCTCGCTTCTTCTCCTCCTTCCTCCATTTGGAGCTGACGTTCCGGCCGAATTCCCGCGCCTTCAGGTCCTTCAGCCTCTGAAATGGGAAAGACATCTGATTTCAACCACCAATCAAATAAAAGTAACTCCTTGGGTAACCAGCTATTTCCGGAATACAGGTTGCCTTGTAAGTGACATACATGTACATGATTGTATGTATAGTATAAACTTATTGCACAACAATTGTACAAGGTACAAGGTACAAAGTATGGCATCTACTGGTACGTAAGTACAGTTCTATAATCTGTCTAATACAAGAGTGACTTGTGTGCATGTAGCATGGGTGACGATCATCGAACAAATTTCTATTGTCTAGACATTCTTTAAGTTTACTGTTTAGCAGTTGTCAAATGTCATTATGTACTTGAATTTGCTATTCAAGTCCAGTGAGATACATGTAATCCTGGTATAGAAGACAAATCATGGTTTTCAAAGTCAAAATAATGTCTGCCTTGAAATTGGCATAAAGTCTAATGTCTCTATTACTATTACACACAGGCACACACATGCCTTATAGTGACATAAGTCAGGATTTTAAAAGTTAAATGTCTTTATCACACACACACACACACACACACATATACCACAAACACTTCTACACACAAACACATACAGATGCACATCATAGTTTGCAATGAGTTTTCCAATCTCTTCAAAAGGCTGCACTTCGTAACAAATAGTCATATCCCTTGGAGGTCTTAATGTTCTGGATTATAACTAAAGCTATGTTTTAAAAGTATTGCCAAACTAAAATCAGACAAATCTCTCAGCTAACCAAATAAATGACTGCACAAATGTCATCCAAGGAAAATGTTGGAAACCCCATCAATAAGACAATTCATGGTACATTTAATAAAGACTTCTGACAGATTGAAATATACTAATAGCATCTGGTGGTGACAGTCAGCTTTATCAAAGCTTTCCAAGACTGAGAGATGCACTGCGTTCACTAAGTTGTCTTTTCCTTATGCATTGTTGAAAGGCAGTGAAATACAGCCCCAAATGCTACATCCTGACATTGATTCGTTACTCAGGCTTCTGCTACAAGTGGTAAAGGCAGGCAAACATACAACACTATACATGACAAATGCACCAGGATGGAAAAACTTTCAAGATATTCTGGAGACTTTGCAGATACCATCAAAAGTACAATTGGAAGGGCCCATGCAGAGAAACATATATTGGAGAGACTGAAAGATCTCTCATGGTGAGGTTCTTTGAACACAACCTAGTTTGACTACCTCGGAAATCTCAAAACATATTAATATACAACACTTGGTCTCATCGGATCTTGGACTTCAAACGACACTTTTTTGCAGGGATTAAAGAGGCTATCTACACCCAGCCACTACAACCTTCCCCCAACAAAGACGGGGGCGCCACAGACTTTCTGCAACTTACGATCTACTGCTCACTGAGTCACATGTGTCATCTGCATAACATGATGCCACAGAAGCGGTGGATTGCTCATTCCTTGACAAAGACTGGAGTTGTACAGTCAAAAATCTGGGCAAGTCCAATCCTTTGTGTTGGAAATTACAGTTTAAACTTGCTGCATAATGCTGCGGCAGAGGTTTGCATTCCAAAAGTGCTGCCTGGCTGTTCCTAGAGTTTAACAACAGTCAGGGGAACCACACGAAGAAGGAAGACTTAACTTGGATTAACCACAGTTTGAATCAATCAATACTGAAGTCATCACTGGGTTAGGATACGTGGGCCCTCGGGCAAACAAAGGAAATGGTATCTAAGTCCACCATTACTCTAGAGGACACAAGGTAATCTCCTCTAAAGTAATGAGTCTTGACTCTCAATAAGCACCCTTAGACAGTTCCAGTCATTCACCTCAAGACAAAGACACTTTCTTTGTACAGCTAATGGCCAAGACAATACCTGGAGCTTCGTACTAAAAGCCGTATTGATCAGACTGGTGCAATTAAGCCCACCTTGTCCCTGCAGACCCAGTGTCCTCCCATAATGTCTCACTACCATATTGGAAATCCATAGGCACTGAGCAAGTGGAAAGTGCCGAAGCGGAAGAAAACATGGCCCGGATATTGCGGGGAGAGTCACTGGAGCTTGACTAACGCAGTTGTTTTGGCTGAGATTGCAGAACAGAAACCTGGCAGCAACTGGTGGTATATAATCACTTATGGGGTGAAATATGGAATGCATGATTTATGTATGATCTGAATGTGTTTCAGTGCTCTTTAATGTTCCAATAGGCACCGTGTCTAGTAGCAAAAGTGGTTGGCATGCAGGAAAGCAAGCAAGCAACCAAGCAAGCAAGCAAGCAAGCATACAAGCAAGCAAGCAATCAACCAAGCAACCAACAATCCAACCAACCAACCAACCAACCAACCAACCAACCAACCAACCAACCAACCAACCAACCAACCAACCAACCAACCAACCAACCAACCAACCAACCAACCAACCAGCCAACCAGCTAACCAGCAGCTAAACCTGGAATTAACTTCATTACTGGAATTACTGTAAAACTAAAGCAACCAAGCAAGTAACCAAGTAACCAACTATTCAAGTAAGCAACCAACTACGCAAGCAAGCAAGTAACCAACCAACCAACCAACTATATGCAAACGAGTAACCAAGTAACCAAGCAACCAACCAACCAACCATGCAAACAAGTGAGTAACCAAGTAACCAACCAACCAACCACGCAAGCAAACAAGCAAGCAGGCAAGCAAGCAAACAAGTAATCAAGCAACCAACCATGCAAGCAAGCAACCAAGAAGGCAAGCAAGCAAAGCAAGCAAGCAACCAACAGCTTAACCTGGAATTAACTCCCTTTATCAAATGCTCTGGTTGGAATTACTGTAAAACCAAAGCAGCAGATAGTGTGAGTAGTAGTGATTAGTTCCCCACAGATGAAGTGCTTTACTCTATCTTACACACTCATGCAGAGTAATTGACTCGGCCGGCACACTATATGACTTCTGAGACCTCCCTCTCTCTTTAGAGTGATGCTGCATGATAGACGGGTGTAAATCACTGCTGCCAGCAAAATGAAAACTCCCCGACACAAATGAAGACAAACGGATAGCCCCGAGGTGTCCCGCAATCGAAAATGTTGCCATGCATTTTTCATGGCGTCTAAATCAACCAATCAATGGCAAAGGCGACTCCATCTTCTGTGTGATTTTTTGCTGGAGCCATTATTACAGTAGGGCCATGTTGATTTGGATTTGAAAAGTTTGACAAAAATGTTGTCATTGTGGTGCTGACACACCACCCATGTGGTCACTGGTGCACAACACAAGTTGTACAAAACCTGTCCTTGGTGCTGAACACACCATCCCCACAAATATAACCACTGGTGCACGACAAAATCTGTACACAGACCTGTCCTTGGTGCTGAACACACCATCCACATATAAATACCAACCACTGGTACACGACACAATCTGTACACACACCTGTCCTTAATGCTGAACACACCATCCACACAAATATACAGGTCACTGGTGCACGACACAATCTGTACACACACCTGTCCTTGGTGCTGAACACACCATCCACACAAATATAACCACTGGTGCACGACACAATCTGTACACAGACCTGTCCTCGGTGCTGAACACACCATCCACATATAAATACCAACCACTGGTGCACGACACAATCTGTACACAGACCTGTCCTTGGTGCTGAACACACCATCCACATATAAATACCAACCACTGGTGCACAACACAATCTGTACACAGACCTGTCCTTGGTGCTGAACACACCATCCACATATAAATACCAACCACTGGTGCACAACACAATCTGTACACAGACCTGTCCTTGGTGCTGAACACACCATCCCCACAAACATATAGGTCACTGGTGCAAAAGAAACCTGTACACAGACCTGTCCTTGGTGCTGAACACACCATCCCCACAAACATACAGGTCACTGGTGCAAAAGCAATCTGTACACAGACCTGACCTTGGTGCTGAACACACCATCCACTTAAATTGTTAAAGAGGCTTGTGTTGAGTCACCTATCAACTTTTTGTCCAGTTATCCATACTTTTTCCTATTTCTTCTGTAGAATCTTACAAAAATACCTTTAACAATCAGAATTAAGACAATAAAATAATGGTTCAATGTTTCATGGAGCTAGACAGCAGAAAAGGTCAGTGTTTAGATGTCAATATTTCCGCACATTTCATTGTAGGCCAAACCTGTTACTTTTTAGCCAAGATTGGCAAGTAATCCATCACACGAAGTCCTGTAAAGCCGAACAGTTGCTTAGTTACTATTTGATGACAACGGATGATCCTGTCTTCAAAGGTGACACATTTCCGATGCTTCCTTTAACAAAGAGACTGACATGGCATCGGTAACCACCGCGGCTCGTGCAATATGTGCCCGTACGTCACCGAAAACTTCCAGGAGTCAGTTAGGTGTGACGACTAAATTTGGAAAACTGCCGAATGCACATCCAAGGGAGGGAAAAATGATTAATATTTCAATTTTCTCCGACAACTTCGACAAATTTCATGTCCTCCCCGCCACTCCATAATGCAGCCAGGCATCCATCTTATTCAAACAACCATTGATTCTGATATGAGTTGACACACAGGTCAATTTTGGTATCCCCCTGCGTCCCGTGTTTATTGCCCTCTGACCCACCCAATCGACTTTTCCGCAAACCCCTGATCATTTTCTCGTTGTCGGCACACCCAATCCCCAATGATTGGCACGTAATCAGATCTTAAACATTTTCCAGTGCCGGGCCCAAACTGCACTTAGTGCCTTGTCGGCTTAGATAAGCTGACCTGGGTTAAACTACAAGCTAGGGCAGACAAGCTAGGATCATGACCAGCCTTTCCATACAGATTTTAACACAAGGAAACATGAGCTACATGCGCTTCTTCTCTTCACTGAAAGAAATGTACTTAGTCTAGTAATAGTCAAAAATTACAAAACAAATGCTGCACCTTGAAAGCACCACGGTACTAAATATAGACTGACGTTTCAGATCAGAAGCTATAGGAAATAAGAAAAGGAGGCAATGTTCTGACTTACAAACAGCTGAGTCAACAAAGTTGCTAAAATGACAGCAGAATTTGAGTGCTCCACACATTATGCCTCTTGTCTGAGCTTGGGGGGGTATTGCTCTTGGAGCAGAAACTGATATCATTCTGAAATAAAAAGTATGATCTCTATTTCAAATTTCTACATTTTCTAACTGCCATCTGTGGACAAAACGAAAACGGCAACAACAGTGAATTTTTATTCACACACTTCCCAGAGACTAACTCAGATAAAGAAGTACTGGAGACAGGTTAAGCTAGCCAGCAGTACCTTCAATGCCACTGACATTACAAGGTTACATGTATGTTGTAGACAACTATAGATGCACTCAGTAAGATCAATTATAGTTCCCTAGAACGATGTTGTCAAAGTGGTGCCAGTGTGTCGAAACCAAAGTTTTTAGCACTACAAATGCTATTCATATACCTACATGTATGTGTCTACATTTACAATGGATTACTAATGGCAATGATAAGACTGTGTCATGAATATAACATACAGGCACACTGTCGATTCTGCTATCTTTGAAATCAAATTTAGCTGTTGTTGTACAATGCATTCATTTTTACGATAATAAATGACTCTTTTCGTTCAAGCAACTTTGGGCACAAAGGTTTACTTCAGTTCAAATGTACTTTAACATGTTGTGAAAAGTCTGTACATGTATCTATTGTGTGAAATTGCATTTCCCTGGTTTGTTCTCTTCAAATTTTGGCAATGACTCAGATGTGTACAGCCTCGGATTCACTGTTACAAGGCAAAGAAAAAGAGAAATTTTGACAACTTTTTCCTCTACAGGAATGATGATTCATAGTTTCAAGTTTGACAAACAAGAAAGTTTGACAAAGAAGTGAATAACGCAATACTACTGGGTATTTAGAAGGATTTACAAGCAATATCAAAAGCAAATCTGGAAAATCTCCTTACTTAAAAGTTATGAAGATTCTTGCAGGAGAAGAATTCCCTGACTTAAACTTGTCAGTTTCAGACATCAATCAGCATTATTTCTACATCCTTTATTATTAGCTTCCGTTGTTGATAAATATATATAGACAACGAGACAAGCTACCTTTATCTTAATCTATGTATAATTCATCATTATGTGTCTGATTCGCATGCACTGATAGCTCTTATCTTATTAATTCAATGCTAGAGAAAAGTAATCTAATAGTGTGACCTAGGGCAGAGTAATGATCTAATCATGCAGACGAATTTTCTGAAAATTTGACACCTTGGTTTTATCGTTCCAATATCGTTATAATCGTGAACACGGGAAAGTCAACATGACAGACTTGACAAATGAAAGGATTTCTGCTTACATTAGATTTGGATTTATATACAAAAACTTAACTTTTGAATATAAATCCAATTTCAGTTTTTGGTGTGTCTATGTGTTTGTATAGTTATTTCCACATAATATTATATTATTTCATCAAATGTTAGCAATAACAACTACTATACATGTTGCCATACGTTGTACCTGCTACAATTGTCATGCAATAAAGCTCTTCTTTACAAAAAAATGTATCTAGGTCAAACCCTTATCATTTTTTTTTATTTTAGCATACTGCATTAGCTGTTTGACTGCCAATTCTCTATTAGTTACAGGGTTTGGCAGCAGGTAGAAGGTTAGAAACATAGAATGGAGCACACTTTAATCCAAGGGGGTATTAAACTTACATCTAGATCTTTATCTAAATACCCCTGACTCCACTGTAGGTTATTATAATCAGACATCTGCCCATGCCTTGTCCAGTGGGCTCTCTAGAATGATAGTTAGTCCACTAATCAATTGTATAATGGCCATTACTTGGTCATTATATAGGAAAGCGTTTAGCACATTTCCAATCAGAGTGAGGGAATGTCTCATTATTTAATCCCTTTACTGTCCAATCAATTAGCAAACAGCTAAAAGTCCTTGGCCTTGTTGAATTGTCTGTTATCATTTTTCACAGTGGTCCCAAGGCTAAAACAATGATCCAGATCTACTCTAAGCCTGTGTACCTTTTTGAGACCTTATATTGATGTTCAGGTATTTGGACCTGTGCCATGCAATCAGGGCTCTAGCCAGCACCTGTTTTACCTTCAGTTGCTGGAACTTTGTGGCATGTGACGGAAAATTCCTAAACCAATCTGTAAACCTTGACTGACAAAACTGCCACAAATCTCTGGCAAAAATATAAAAACATCCAATATCTGCTCACAACCCCATATTTCCCTATCAAAATGCGAAATTGTGTTTTTAAAAGCTTGCAAATCCAAAATTTGCCCACGGACCCTCCCTAGATTGTGGTGCACAACACAATTTGTACACAGACCTGTCCTTGGTGTTGAACATACTATCCCCATAAACATACAGGTCACTGGTGCAAAAGTTAAACACAATCTGCACACAGACCTGTCCTTGGTGCTGAACACACTATCCACACATACAGGTCACTGGTGCACAACACAATTTGTACTTGTGTGGCAAGACCTGTCCTGGGTGCTGAACATACCATCCACATACACAGGTCACTGGTGCACAACACAATTTGTTTACAGACCTGTCTTTGGTGCTGAACACACTATGCACACAAACATAACCACTGGTGCACAACACAATCTGTACACAAACCTGTCCTTGGTGCTGAACTCACCATCCCCATAAACATACAGGTCACTGGTGCAAAAGCACGACACAATCTGTACACAAACCTGTCCTTGGTGCTGAACACATGATCCACACCAACACATTACCACTGGTGCACAATACAATCTGTACACAGACCCGTTCTTGGTGATGAACATATCATCCCCATAAACATAACCACTGGTGCACAACACAATCTGTACACAGACCTGTCCTTGGTGCTGAACACACTATCCACACAAACATAACCACTGGTGCACGACACAATCTGTACACAGACCTGTCCTTGGTGATGAACACACTATCCACACAAATATAACCACTGGTGCACAACACAATCTGTACACAGACCTGTCCTTGGTGCTGAACACACCATCCACATATAAATAGCAACCACTGGTTCACGACACAATCTGTACACAGACCTGTCCTTGGTGCTGAACACACCATCCACATATAAATAGCAACCACTGGTGCACGACACAATCTGTACACAGACCTGTCCTTGGTGCTGAACATACCATCCCCATAAACATACAGGTCACTGGTGCAAAAGCACAACACAATCTGTACACAAACCTGTCCTTGGTGCTGAACATACCATTCACCTAAATTGTTCAAGAGGCTAATTGTGTTGAGTTACCTATCAACTCGGCTGATGGTCAAATATATTGTATGCGTACAGCTGGCAGAAACAAAGTCACCCACCTGCTTGTGAGCATGGTCGTATGAGTTGATGTGGTTGTCGAACTCCTGGTGCTTGTAGTACTGTTTATCACACAGCTCGCAGTAAAAGTTGTCCTTCAGGTCTTTCAGGGCCTCAGCGATGGCACGCTCCTTCTCCGCATTCTCCTGTTGGTGGTGGATGGAACATACATTAATAGATTGTTTGTTTCATTAGGATCTAATTACTGGAAATTTCCTACCATTCTTCCTGTAGTCAGTAGTGATTCACCAGATAGTAGTATAAGGACTATCGCACACCAGGGCATGCCCCTACTCCTCTTTTTCAAAAGGTGTGGTGGGTTCTTGTCATTGTGGCTCTCCAAAACACGGGACAATGTAATGTCCTATCCAAGGGACGCCTGTAATTGAAGCTACATGTAGGTACTCATTTACACCTGAGTGAAGTATTGTAAAGTGCCTTTCCCAAGGGCACAAGATCAGTGACATGGCAGGATTCAAACCCAGTACCTGTAGGTTCTTAGCTGAACACTCTGCCATTTTGCCACAGGACCTCACCAGATCAGTTCCAAAATGCTGGAAAATCCTCGGTCAATACCCGTGTCTGCTGATGACAAGTTTAGCGAGTAATTAGGCTTATGAGGATCACTTCCAACAGAAATGTCCAGCCATAATCTTGGGTTAATTTCGGTTAATAGCTTTTGCAGACACGGGCAGAGACAGACAAATGCAAGGCTAGTGATTTTACTGTGCTTCAATGTCTGGGTGGATTAAAATCAGGCTTTTGACTGGGCCCATGGCACTAAAAAGGTCAATGTTATGTCACACTGTGTAAAAGGGCAAGGATGAAAAAGCTGTATAAGAAGCTCTTCTTGGAATTCCATCTCAAGGCTCACTTAATTTCAGGGTGAGATGGACTGATTAGGATAATCTTAAAAAATAAAACAAAAATGGTAAGGGGCCAATACTGTAACTATTGAACACATGGAGAGACAACAAAAATAGGGGAGAAAGGTTCAACATGCTCACTATGTCAGTCGAAGATTTTACCAGCTCAGGATTTAGCACATGTAGAATGGAACTTTTCAGATTTCTGGAACTGCCCTTATCTATCTTCCAATACAAGCATGGTGCCAAAAGCTTGTATCTATTTACGACTTCACACATTTGTGGACAGACTGACATAATACATCATAGGTGTCACTGAATAAAACCTCCTCAAGAGTTAAAACCTGAGACCAGACAGTAAGGTTTGAATGACTCACACTCAGAAGGATCCCTGATCTTTTCATTACGTGTGGTGGGATCTTTAATATGCTCGAACCAAGGTGTGGCTCTCCTAGACCACAGGGCCTCTACTTAATGCCCTATCCAGGAAAATGTCCCAAACTAAAGCTAGGTTCTCATTTTCAGCTGATTCAAGTGAGGAAATAGGTTTAAAGTGCCTTTCCCTCTCAGCAGGATGGTGCCTGCCAGGGATTCAAACCAAGAATCTTTCTACTCAACAGCCAACTACAAGACCACCTTGCCACCTTTAGCAATGGGGAGGCTAAACCTACTATACATGTACATGTAGCTCCAAATGCTTCAGGTGACAAAACTTCAGTCCATTTCAGTTCAATCAATAACCATATCTCAGTAAACAAGAAGTAAAAGCCAGTCTTATCATGACTTAAGCATCTCTCTTAGCGTTCTGCTACCCTGTATACCCAGTACACTTCAAAGGGGCACTGCAAGGCATCTTACAGCCGGCATCTCTTGGGTTGTAGGGAAAAGTGCCTGATGTTGACATCTGACAGTTGGCCTGAAGGCACTGCACCAGAGATAGAGGAGCTATTGGGTTTAAAGAGCACAAACAGCCGTGAGGCTTTGACTTAAAAGCAGAACTAGGGAGACAGCTTTCAAGATTTTGTCTAAATTTTGCTTTTGAAGAAATTCTTTCAAATGCATCTGTTTGCAACATCCTGTCAAGTATAGATGAGACATTCTGGTATTGAACACCCTTCACCTGTACATGTTTTACTTTGTCTCATGCTGTCAAAAAATTTCTTACGGTACGACATATTTTGTATGATGTACGTCAACCTAGTACAAGCTCAGTTCCCATCAGACTGCCCGCAGTGCCAGGCAAACCTCTTTGGGCACACAGAACATTTTCTAGGCATCAAAAGCCGTAAAGAAAGAACACCCATACAGAATTACAGGTACAGAACCTTTTCATTTTACCAAACAATATAACGGGGGTGCCCTAACATCGCACGCTTTTTTATGTGCTCTAACTCAAGGCAATGAATACAGTAAATACAGTTAAACTGTAAATCACTAATGTTTGCAGTAGCAAAATTTGTGGTCTAAGAAAATATGACATGTTTGTGGAACTACATTGTATACGTTTGCAGTGGTGGCAGGTGGAGCAAAAAGAAAGTTGGCAAATTATGTTCATGGTAATGATAAGTTTACAGAAGTGGTACAGAAGTGACTGTGAAGACCATGAATATAAAAGTACTGCAACCCTGTCCATCATGGTGCTTGCCATGTTGATAACTTTGACTTTGAATCCTTCAAAAGACTTAGAACAAACTATCGTTAAAATTCCAAACTTGTCCATACCATAGTCTATAAGTTTTTTTATCCTGAAATGAACATTAATGGAACATTGCATCAAAGCATTTTAATCTGTGAAATCAATCAGTACAAGATACAGTTCCCCCATGTCAATCCCGGGTATACCATGTTTGTAGTACGTGAACAAACTATGTACACAGGGAGGAACAATAAATGCATCGCCATGTCTTTCCCCAGACCTCGCTTCACATCTGCCCTGTTTATGTTGCATCCAGTCATACCCTGTCACTGTACTCTCATAGAGAAGCAGGAAGGATTCACAAGGCTTAGTCATGCTGGATTAAACTGTGAAGAGGATTTGTGCAAGAGAAATCCAGCGGATCCCGGAAGTGTGAGAATGCACGTAGGATTTGATAAATCACCCTACAAGATTAAGGGTTGGATTCCTCGTGGATATCCTCTGTAGCTTATAGGATAGGAAAAAAAAGAGATTTTTGAGCGGGAGGTGGTGATGTTATTCTATAGAAAAGATGCTGTATATAGTTTGCTAGAATATTTTCCAGATTTTTGAAAGAAAACAAGTCAGAGATGGCAGACTTCACCCCTTACCCATACTGCCCTATAGCACTTCCAGTGTCTGACAACTCGTGCACTGTGTACAGTATATTGGGGATACCATATACATATCGGCAGGCACACACATGTAAGCCAAAAATGTATTTCCAACAAGAAATATGGCTTAAGTTAAATTAAAACTGATGATAGTGATGAAAGTGAAAAATTTTATAAACCATACCCCACATGAAAAAAAATTCTTTCTTCATCATTGAAGTTAGAAATTTTGCAAAGTCTTGCAGCAGTTTCACATAGAATACATAGCAGTAATACATTTGAGCTGTTGTTTAGTATTCCTGCCTATCTCTTCTTCAAGTGAGAACCTTTCAGTTTGAAGAACAGCGGGGTTTTATGTTGTTTCACCTACAGGCAGAGTTGAGAAGTGGAAGAACCCTAGCTTTACAATCTCAAACTTAGTCTAGAAGAATACATTATAACCTACACCTGGCTAGAAACATTCTTCATTTAATCACCCTTCCCTCGAGTTGACTAAAAAGTCGTTGAAAGTAAGACCACCTGGGAATGTTTAATGTCCCGAGTGTGAGCATTTAATGACAATCTTGTGTCGGCTCGGCTTCTGAAAAACTCCGATACTTTTATCTCTACCGCACACACCCTTGTTGTCTCCATAGGGGTGGCTGGGAACACCGCGCAAAAGACAGGTATATTGTATAGAAATGTTTCTATGGATTTTCTTGATGGATAATAATGTTTGACTGGAGCTTGTAGGATAAAGACACCGTGGAGTTGGCGAGGAACGGGGTTGACATGATTAACGGCACCAGAAGCAAGTTAACAGTTCCAAGTTGAATTGGAAACTGGTAAAGTGAACAGGTGTATCATGCTTCCTGGCAGGTTCAGCTTATACAATAGCGACGGGCCGAAACCCCTTCTTTTGGTTGGTTAGTTCTGCGTGTGCTAAAGGTGTACCTTTTCTTAGAATGGGGAAAAACAAGATTACATTCTTGGACCTTTGCACCTCAGATTTTTTTCACTCTAGGCGAATCATCTCCTGTCAAGGGCACATCAAAAAGACTGCCATTAAAGAAACGCAATTCAATCTCTTACCTACAAATGTAAGTCAGTGGCTATGTACTATCTGGTCTACTGGAATCCTATTGGAAACATACAGGGCTACATATTCTGATATCCTTCTATATCAGCTCTGTGGTCATTATTTCCAGTCTCTCCGCTGGAAAACATGCCCTACTGTGGCATTCTTTAGAACTCACTCCACCGGAAGAAATTTCATACACAGTCTCCCAGACAACGTGGTCAGCCTGATCACTGATAACAACCTCCAGTCATTCAAAACAAGAGTACACTGGCATCTTCTTTCCACCATCAGGACTTCTACTTGTAGCTAGAACCTTGCAGTTGCTGTAAACCAATGGTTAGCCAGGAGTGTTATTTTAATGTCACAACCCTGGCTATTGTTGACATAAGCACATTATAGAAAAAAAATTTCAAAACTGGTTCTTGGATGGGGACTCGGAAGCTAAATACGTATGGATTTTAGGCCATACCTGTATGGCCTGTGAAAAGACAACCTTTATTTTAGGAATATCAGAAGTGTGTGCTGTTATTACTTGCTTGAAAATATCAAGCAGTTTCTGTATAATGTCAGTAATGCTTTCTTATATGACAGTTTTCTGCTGTCCTTGGTGCTGAATATGGTTGTTCTTCAAGTTAATCATAAAGGATGGCTGGTTTCTCTATCTCTCTGTTTCTCACATCCAGTTGCTTGAGTAACTGTTCTTTGGCATATCTTATTACCTGGATGTCTAACCTTCACTGACATTAACTTATGTTACAATCCACTTGAAAGGAAGTCCTAGATACAGGCAACAATGCCACTACAAGTTTGTAATTAACTGTTCAGTGTTGCACAGAGAGGCCAACTACATGTAGCTTGATTACTCAGTGGGGGTCCATGTCTTTGAGGTAAGTGATAGTGTGGGATGCATCAATCTATGTAAGCCCAAAGG